GCCCCCTACTGGCGGAGTGATCTCTACAAACCCACAAAAATGGTCCCGGAACTATGGTGAGTCTGGGTAGCTCTCCCTCTGATGGAACCGGCTCCTGAGATGCCAAAATCATGTTCCATCTTGGCTCTGGCCGTGAGGAGAGTGGAGTCTTTTATTTTATTTATTTGTTTTTAACCCTTTCCAGGACAAAGGAGAGCCCTCTGCCTGGGGCCTGGGAACCTCTCCCCCAAAGAACCAGCCCCTCCCCCCCCGCAGGGCCTGGAGGCTCAGACATCACAGAGGCTGCAGGGCCTCCCAGGAACCCCTGACACATGCAAACCCCTGACTCAGGACCTGCTTCCTCTTCTTGATTTTTGTACCATTTGCATTTACTTGCATTTCTTCAGAAGGTGAGAATTTCCTGGCTCACTTCCCTCTATCTGCCCTTGCAGAGAGCTGAGAAAAGACGCAGGTGGAACATGGACCTTCATATTGGACCAGGGAAACGTCCTTCAGGGGCTGAGCCTCAAAATTCTCTGTACTTCTTGCTTAATAGAGTCACAAGAATTAGACTACGGCCCCGCGTGGTAGCACACGCGTGTAATCCCAGCATCTTGGGAGGCTGAGGCAGGAGGACTGTGAATTCAATGCCAGCCTCAGCAAAAGTGAGGCACTAAGCAATTCAGTGAGACCCTGTCTCTAAATAATATACAAAGTAGGGCTGGGGGTGTGGCTCCGTGGTCGAGTGCCCCTGAGTTCAATCCCTGGTGCCCCCACACCACCAAAAATGGGGAGGAAGGTGGAGGTGAGCCCGAAGGGAGGTACAGGAAGGATCAAAACTCAGGCTTAGGGACACAACCTATAGGATTGGTACTTTTTCAGTGCCTGGTCAACAGAGATCTTGATCCACGTTCATATCCCAAAATCGTATGAGCCCCTAAGCAGCAAAAAACCAAAATGGGGTTTTCCTGCCATCAGGCCCCGCCCCACATCAGGGAGTTATATCTCTGCTCACATAAATAAATCCTATTATTCTTCAGATTTGTGAGTCAAGAACCCAGAAGGAAATTGGTGAAGTGGGGAATCTCATCTCATCTCAAACCTATGGTTTCCTTGCTGCAGAGAGGTGTACAAAGGTCCTGAGCATCATTTCTCAGGGGCTTCCGGAGACCCCAAAGCTCGGTCTTAAGCCCATCACTGAATGGGTTTTGCAGGTGAGTTGGCATCGGATCTGTGCAGGCAGATCCCAGCTGTAAACAGCGGGGTGCTGGTCTCCAGGTGCCATGGGGACGCGGGGGTCCAGGGGAGCTCAGAGCTTCCAGCACTGCCCGAGGTCAGCCTTCCTGGGGGTGAGGTGAGGGCATGGCACGGCATTAAAAGCACCCGCCCTGATTTGTCATTCATTTTACTGACAATAGCACCCTCTCTCTGTGTCACTGAACCACACTGCTCCTCAGGTTGGTGTGATACCCACAATGGAAGCAGAATTCCCTTTCTTTGGTGGTGGGGGCTGGGGGGACCAGGGATGGAACTCACTGAGCCACCTAGCCCAGTCGTATTTTATATTTTTTATTTAGAAACAGGGTCTCACTATGTTGCTTAGCGCCTCGATTTTGCTGAGGCTGGCTTTGAACTCACAATCCTCCTGCCTCAGCCTCCCAAGCTGCTGGGATTTTAGGGGTGTATTACCAGATCCGGCTCAGAATCCCCTTTTTAAATGGAGGAGGCCTGAGATTGAGTATGAATACTGGGGAAACTGCCCCTCCCCACAGACCCCTCCAGTATTAGGAGGGGCAAAGTTTTATTGTTACCAGCTCCTACCCATGACTCTAACCCTGGCTTAAGGCTAGAACTCCGCCCTACTTTGGAAAAATCATTTAAAACATACCAGGAGGTGCTGCGACCTTGTCACCATTGACCACTTGGTCAGTCGCAGTTTCTGTTTTCAAACAGAAAAAGGTGGGAGCCCCTCCCCTCCAGGCTGGGTTCACAGCCCTGCCCCCCACTCACTCTCCAGACTCCCCTCCATCCCCCAGAACCCCATTTTTTTAGATCTCTCCATTTCTGTTTACTCCAGGTCCCTCGTTACACCTGGGGACACTAAGCAGTCCTGCAGGGTGGGGTCAGGAGGAGGCTGCAGAGTCGCAGAACAAGATAAGATTTGGGGCTCAGATTCAGTTTCCCTCAAAGTGCCCCCACCCTTCCTACCCACATGGTCCCAGTCTGGACACACGCACCTCAAATCTGGGATGGCACAGGCCACGGTGGCTAAGGACAGGCTAAGGACTCATTTCCCCAAGGTGACACCCCCTGGCCCACGGCTGGTTTCCATTCCCACAGGGCAGGGCCTGGGAAGCAGCTGCAGCCTGTTCCTCTGCCCAGCAGGTGGGCAGGTCCAATCAGGCCTCCCCTCCCTTTCTGTGACCTTCGCGGTCACCTTTACTTATGTGTTCTGCAGGCAGAAGGCGTGAAAGTGTGTCCTCTCCCCTCCAAGGGAGAGGCCTCTGTGGTCTGGAGGGAGCCGGGGCTTGTTCTGCCAGCAACTGCTGAATTGTATTCATAAAGACTGAAGGTTTTAAAAACAAGGGAATAAGATGACTTGGCCCATTGGGACAGCTAGGGACAGCAGACAGAACCAAAGGAAAACATGGCATCTCAACCTGCAACCCACACCTGCACGTCAGGCAGGTGGACCTCGCTCTTCCCATGTCACCCTATGTCACTGTGCCACCAACCGCCCCAGGGCCCAGGCTCTGCCTTCTGGAAATCTCAGCTCATAAGTGACATTAGTTCATAGCTCGTTTGTGTGGTTATGACAAAATACCGGAGGCCTGGGGACCTGCCAACAACAGGGACTCGTTGTTCATAGTCAGTGTTGGGGGGGCGGCTTCCGAGAAACTAGGCAATGCAAAGACCCCTCTTCAAACCCTGATTCTTATGATCACGTCAGAAGAGTTCAGACGTGTCACTCAAAGGAACAGGAAGGAGTTTATTGAAGGGACAGGAAAAAGCCAAGAGGACACTCTCCAGGGAGAGAGTGGGTCCTTTCGGAGAGCAGAGGGACAATGTGCCTCCCCTGCACTCCAGGTTCATTGAGGATCCCAGAGAAGTTTCCAGAGAGTCCCAGCCAGGTCCACCTCTTGGCTTTTGACTGACAGCAGGTTGACATCAGACTCTCAAGTCCCCACTGCTATGACAGTTTTATGTCACCTTGGCCATGCTGACCAGTTCTAATCGGATTCTTGGTCATTTTTACAGGTTTTAGAGTTAAGAAGAATTATCCTTATCTTCCAGAATCTGGTCTGTGAAAAGGGTCACAGAAATCTCTCCCTTCAAAATAACTTGGGTTCCTCTTATCAACGTGATTTCCTGCCTGCATTTCCTTGCAGATAACAGGTAGCTTGCTGAGGAATGTGACTTATCCTGTCCAGTTAGGCCAGGCAGGGCTGCAGGTAAATTGCCTCTTGGCAAAGAAAGCATGTGGGGGTCCGCACAGTGGCCCACTTTATAGAATTATCCCCTTAACCTCGTGTTCCCACCGTGCTCATCTGTCTGTTCCCCTAACAGTTGTAGAGGCTGGAAATCCAAAATGAAGCTGCCAGGATCTGGTATCTGGCAAGGGGTGTCCCCTGATTCAGGGTCCTCGCATGGGGGAAAGGCTGAGGGAGTTCCCTGGAGCCTCTTCTGAGCACACAATCCCATTCAGCGCTCCGTCCTCGTGACCTAATCATATCCCAAAGCCTCACTCCTAATACCAACACCTGCGGTAAGATTCCAACATGTGAATTTTAGGGAGGACAGACATTCAGAGCCTCGCAGTTCCTTCTTCTTGATTATCAGTGCATTGACTTTGGGGATCACCAAACTCATCATCTCACGCCACAACAGAACACTGAAGCCCTCCTGGGACTCAAAATGGTTCACCCAGAAAAAAACCAAGGTTGAGCCTCAGTCCCTCTGAATCAACCCATCCCCTGGTACCTGTCACTGAGGCCGCCTGGGCTTCTGCAGACACCTTGGGAACCTTTTTCTATCTTCTTCTGACAGCATTCCAGAGAAAAATGTGTTGTTAATTAAAGACATGAGGATGTAGCTCAAAGAATTAACAGTAGGGCCTTGAAAGGTATTTGTACATCAATATTCATAGCAGCCTTGACTGCAATAGCCAAAAAGTGAAAGCAACCCAAGTGTTCATTGACAGAAGAATGCATAAGCAAAATGTGGTCTATCCATACAGCGGAATATCATTCAGCCTTAAAAAGGAAGAAAATTCTGACACTTGCTACAACATGGATGAACCTTGAGGACATTCTGCTGAGTGAAATAAGCTAGACACAGAAGGACAGATAGTGTATGATCCACTTCTGTAAGGGACCTGCGGTAGTCCAAGTCAGAGAGAGAGAAAGCAGAATGGCGGTTTTCAGGGGCCATAGGGACGGAAGAAAAATGGGAAGATACTGTTTAATTGTTGAAAAATTATGCTTGGGAAAGTAGGAAAGTTCTAGAGATGGATGGTGGTGATGATTGCACAATATGTGAATATGCTTAGTGCTGCTCCCCTGTAGATTTAAAAATGGTTAAGATGGCACTATGGTAGTGTCCCCCAAAGTATGGATGGTGTCCCCGAAAGGAAAGGTCCATGTGTTAAAGGTTTGGTTAAAGGTGGCAGTGTTGAGAAATGCTGTGGATCTTTAAGAGGTGGGGCTTAGTGGGAGATCCTAGGTCATTGGAGGTGTGCCCTCAGAGGGGATAGCAGAACTCCAGTCCCCCAGTCTCTCTCTGCTCCCTGACTCAAGATGTAAGCAGTTTGCTCTCATGCAGGCTCCCACCGTGATGTGCTGAGTAACAACGGGGCCACTCAATCTCAGACTAGCACCTCCAGAACCATGAGCTAAATAGACTTTTCTCTTTATAAGTTAATTACCTCAGGCATTTCACTACAGTCATGGAAAACTGACTGATACAAATGGTGAATTTTGTTAAATGTATTTTAACACAATTAAATTTTTAAAATCCAAGCAAGTGGTTTAGTATAAAGAACGTGGCGGGTGGGTATGGTGTAACTCAGCCATAGAGCAGTTGTCTAGCAAGTATGAGGCTCCAGGATTGACCTCCAGCACTGCCAAAAAAAAAAGGGGGGTGGGCCATCATGGAGATATATGGCTAGATATGCAAAAAAGTAAACAGAAGTCCATGTGAGCCGTAGAATCCAGGGATGAGTGTCTGGGTGCTCACTCTCAATGTTTCCATTTGTTCAAACATTTTTACAAAAAAATGGTGGCAAATAAGACAAGCAGGATGCTCTAAGAGGGGAGGGGAGGCAGAAAGAGGAGCCTCCTAGGCTCTCGGGGTCTGACATCCCAACTCCACAGTCAAAACAGCATGGTCCTAGCTGGGTATGCCGATGCACAGCTGTAAATCTAGTGACTCAGGAGGCTGGGGGGAGGAGGATCACAAATTTAAGGCCAACCTCAGCAACTTAGTGAGACCTTGTCTCTAAATAAAAAATAAAATCAAATCAAAACGGCTGGATAGGTGGATGGGTGGCTCAGTGGTTAAGATCCCCTGGGTTCAATCCCCTGTCCAAAAAAAAAAAAAAAAAAAGGAAACCTCATGGGCTCCAGTGAATAGAGGCAGAGGGCCCTGTGGTCAGGCAGGGAGTCCACCCAGCTCCCACAGGGACCACGATGTCCTGACACACAGACTCAGTTTTTAATCTTCCTGTGGACACTGCAGCTATGTGATCCTTGTCCCTCAGAGGCAGTGAAAGGGACAGAGGGAGCCCATGTTGTCACTACTGCCCAGGACACAGGCATAGAGAGTGAGGTCCTCCCTGCCCTCCAGTGCCTCATCATGTCTGATGGGACGCTTGTGGCTTTGGAGGGGACCCTGTCAAGCATTAATCAGGTCAGCCACCACCGTGTACCAGAAGAGCATACCAAGGATCCTCCAGCATGAGACTCTGAATAGAGCTGGGCTCTGAAATCAGGCCCTTCCACGGAGAACAGCTGTGTGATGCGGGGCTAGTCACTTCATCTCTCTGAGCTTCAGTGTTCTGGGAAATGCAGAGTGTGTCATGCAGCTGTTGTGAAGCTTGTGTGAATTAATGCTTAAAAACGCAAGTGGCCATCCCCTGGTGGGCTGCTTAGTTGGAACAGCAGTCCTGCTGCTGCACCCAGCACCATGGCACTGACTCCCAGATCTAAGGGGAGGGCGAGGCCTGGGACAGGTTTCTGGCCTCTTTTCTTGAAGTATCTGATGCAAAGCCGGAAAGACTCGTCCCATGACCGGCCTCGGCTGCATGCAGACAGAAAGGGATCTGGGCTCCAGGGACCTGCCCCTCCGGGGCCTTTTTGTTTCAATACCCTTTTTTTGAAGGAAGTGAGCCCATGGGTCACTCAGGGACAATTCCTATGTCCCAGCTGGCTCTAGCTTTCATGGTGCCTTCTGCAAAGGGTCTCTAGAGCATGCTGGCCCCGAGCTCAGTCACAACTGTCTCACCCGGCTTTGGAAGACAGGGTGGCCCTCCAGACCACGGGCTGTGGGTCCATGGTAGGCAGGTAGTTGTCTCCAATGTCCCCTGTCTCCTGCCCACTAAGGAGGGCCCTGCCAATGATTCGAGGTGATCTTTGCAGATCAGACCCAGGGAGCAAGCACAGGCATTGTCAGTGAGCATTGTCCCTGGCACAGGGACCCACAGGGAGCTCCTGGGGTGCTGGGACACGCTGTGGGTATCACAAGATCAAGGGGAGGATATAAAGGAAGAAGGGATGGCTCTGTGTGTCACCCTGGAACCCCAGGGAGCAATACTGGGAGGGGGCTAACAGGGCTCAGCCCCGGCCCCTAAACTGCACCAGCCCCACCACACACACCTGGGGACACAGGGCATCAAGGGCAGCTGACCTCGTCCTTCTCCTCAGGAGCTTTAGAGAGAGGCCCCTCTTCTCAGGGATTCGGGAGACTGAAGAGTTTGTATCTGTGGGAGAGTAATCTTTCGCTCTCCTTTGGTGACAGAAGTGGCCGTCCCCCATCTGGATCGGAAGTCCACTTGTGAAGCACAGTTCTGAAGGAGTTCTTGTCTCGGAGGCCAGAGCACTAGGTTTTAAAATTCAAAATTAGAATTAATTTTGATGCCATTGCATAAACCAAGTTTTTTTCTCCCATTCTCCCTCCCTCCAGCAGAGGCCTGGGGCGTCAGACAAGCCAGGGGGCTGAGCAGAAAGGTCCCCAGAGTCAGGACAGGGCTGGAAGGCCTCCTCCCACAGGGGGCTCCTCTGCCACTTTTTAGCATCCTTATCTGGACTCTCAGCCCCTCCCTCCACTGCAGCCCTCCCCGCATCCCACCCCTCCATACGCACAGCATCACCCTGAGCCACTGGCACCAATACTGCCCCCAGTCCTCACCAAACTGCCCCAAAAGGGGGGATGCAAACACAGGCTGCAGCAGCCCCTCCGATGTGCTAAGAAGTAGATGAGTGTCCCAATTTGGAAGGAAGGAAAATCTCAAGGTACCGGGGGACTATCTTTTAACAAACCCAATAACAGGGCAAAGGACCCTCCAGAGAACGACAAGATGACTTTTTATGAAGACAACGTTGTCTGGGATGTAATGATACACAGGAACCACCCAGGCAGACCTTTAAAGGTGCGAGGAGGGGTGGCCATTCTGAAGCACCAAGTGCTGTGTTGGGCAATCGGGGAATGGATCGTAGAGGGGGCGCGTATCCAGCAACCTCTGTGAATCTTGAACTTCAGGGCAGAGACTTTAACACCATGGGATCAGTGCTATAGCGCCTTGTAATTCCTGAAGACACGGACACCTAAAAATTCCTGAGGGAAGATTATTTTCAACCTGGAATTCCAGATTTAGCAAAGTATTAGTCATGTGCAGAGATAGACTAAAGACATTTTCATATATATCAGCATTCATAAAATTAACCTTCTTTGCACCTTTATTGAGTAACTACTGGGATAACCTCTGGCAAAATGAGCAAGACGAAAGAGCAAAGGAGCATTGGGCCCAAGCTAGGAGAGTGAAGGAGAAGGCCCAGCGAGAAGAATATGCCACAGGCCTAAAGATGGAACAGTCCAGATTTGGTGGGTTTATGGAAGTATCCAGAATTGAAGGCTCTTGGGGAAAGAAAGAAGACTAATAAAATAAATGATTAAAATTGAACATTTGAGGACAATATTTTTTTAAGTGGCTAGAAAAGTATACAAGTGGCTAGAAAAAAATGTGGCAATTAAAAACTCCAGGAGAAACAAAAGGTTCCCACAAGACAGGAAATGTGCATATTGGAACCTCAGTAAACAACATTTATCTGACTATCCTAATAATATATTAATTATGGATTTAACTGTACTAGAAGATGTGATAGAAGACACAATAGCATGGGGTAAGTAACTCTGTCATTACAAAAAGTCAAACAACTACATTTCCAATGGATCAAGACATGATGATGTAAGCATATTATCTAAAGGCACAAAAGTCACTGCCAAAAGAAATAACCAAAAAAGTAGTTCAAAAGTGAGAGACTGGGCTGAGGCTGGGGCTCAGCAGTAACGTACTTGCCTGGCATTTGTGAGGCACTGGGTTTGATTCTCAGCATCGCATATAAATAAATAAAAATAAAGGTCTATTAACAATTTTAAAATATATATATTAAAAAAAGTGAGTCACTATGAGGAATAGGGCTCTGGTATCTTAGAGAGGGACAGAAGGACCAAGGGGATCTATTCTTTTTACGTTGAGTCTTTCAATTCTATTCAATTCTTTGTGCAATAAACATAATTTACATTAATGAATAATAATTTCAATAAATAAATATTGCCAAAGGACAATAAATCAATATCTGCCTGTGAAAAAGCAGAAAGAAGTAGAGTACCAAATGAAGGTGAAAGTGGTGCATTCAGTAACAAAATCCAGGGAGCAGGGCTTCCAAAAGACAGGCACAAAATTCAGGCAGAAGGGGTATATTAGTCAGTCCCCATGACTGTAACAAAATACCTGAAATAATTAACTTAAAAAAGAGAAAAGGTTCATTTGGGCTCACAGAGATTTCAGTCCATGATGGATTCGCCTTGTCACACTGATCCCAGGGTAAGGCAGCTCATCATGGCAGGAGTGCATGGTGAAACTGTTCACCTCATGGCCATGGTGTGAAGAGAGAGGAAGGAGCTGGGGGTCCCGAAATCCCCTTCAAGGGCCTAACTTCCTCCCACTTGGCCCCACCTTGTCAGGGTTCCACCACTTCCCAGTAGTGCCACAGGCTGGTGACCAAGCCTTTAACGCTGGGCCTTTGGGGACACATAAAACCATATCAACGGGGAAGGCAAGGCGAGAGCAGATCAAGTACCTGGAGAGGCTGACCGTCAATTAAAACGCCTTGATCTACTCACTTCTTTTTTCATTTTCTAATCAGCCCTGGGAAGTGGTGGCTTCTTGGTGACCCCAGATGCCCGTGGAGAGCAGAATGGGCTTTCTCGGGTGCTGCTGGGTTTCTGCACACCTCTGGCACACACTCAGGGGAGCTGCCAGGAGAGCCCAAGAAATGCTCTTCTCAGCAGGGAGAATCAACGCGGTTTCTGGAGCCAGTGCTGCCTACGAACCGTCCCATGTCTGTCTGGATCCAGAAGAATGTTAACAAAACCTCTCGGGGGAAAGAGAATTGTCTAGATGATTGCAGAAAATTGACCGTTTTCCAAGACAAGCATGGCATAATTTCAGCTCTGTCGAGGCTGTAAGTGGTGCATCTGGTTCAGACAACTTAGGGAAATGGTGACTCAGTGGGAAACTGGGTGGACAGCGAGGGTGCATCTTTGTGTCAAATCTACACGAATTTGAGAAAGATTGGAATTATGATAAACTGAAGCAAGAATACTCCTTCTCGTTTTGCCAACAGTTTGACGCTTTTTGTTGTTGTTGTTATGCTTTTATTTTTGCTTTTGGCTCCAGGGATTAGACCTGGGGTACTTTACCACGGAGCTACATCACCAGCCTTTTTATTTTTTGAGACCGGGTTTTACTAAGCTGCCAAAGGCCTCGCTAAACTGCTGAGGCTGGCTTTGAACTTGCGGTCCTCCTACCTCGGCCTCCTGAGTTGCTGCGATTACTAACAGTTTGGTGTTTAATGCCTTATAGTGGCTTTTGTGTCTCCCCATTCAGGTGCAGCATGTCATAAGCTTACTTGAAAGAGTCTACTGCTAACAGCTGTTCGTCAGGACCCACTTCTGAACCTCCAGAGACGTGCAACAGGAGAAATAGCTGCCCTGAAAAGACCTCTCCCCAGCTACACCTGCAGAGGTAGATTCTCTAGTCCTCAGAGCCAGTGGGGACTTGGGCTGTCAGCTCATATGATTTGGGCTCAGGAGAATTGACACAAGATCCTCTCTGAATTGATGGTGGTCTCTTACCTCAAATTGGTCTTTTTCTCTCTGGGTATGAGGTGATCATACTAATCTTCTCAGAGTGCCACAACAAAATGTCTTAGACTCAGCAGATTAAACGCCGACAGTTATTGCTCACAGTTCTAGAGGTAGGGAAGTTCAAGGTCAAGGTGCTGGCAGATTCGGTTCCTGGTAAGGGCCTGGACCCTGGCTTGCAGACAGTCACCCTCTCAGTGTATCCTCTCATGGTAAAGAGCGGGGAGACACAGAGACACAGAGAGCACATGCCGATGTCTCTCTCTCTCCTTAGCAGGACCAGTTCTACAGCTGGAAGGCACCACCCTGTGACCTCATCTAACCTGAATCACTCCTATAGATTCTACCTTCAGGTACAGCCACACTGGGGATCAGGGATTCAGCATATGAATTTTGAGAGGCACAATTCAGTCCAGAACAATGGTCAAACCACCAGCAACCCCACCACCACCACCACTGAAGTCAAGTTTCCATCATGTTGAACCAGAGAAGCTCCATCCAGCACCATCCTGACATCTGATGCCCCAAATGTCGGGGTGCAGGGTAGGCTGGAGGTCACCAGGAGATGTTGGGATCCTCGGTGACGCTGGCCAGAGCCCAACAGGTACTGGAAAGCCATCTCAGGGCAGAATTAACACACAACTTCAAATACCCTCGTTCCTATGAATTGGGGGAATTTGGGGACCTTTCCCTCTCACTCTTGGAAGTTGTGGCCTGCTGGAAGAGTAAACCCAGACATTACAAATAAGAAAAAAAAAAAATATGCCACCAATCTGCCTGGCCTCCGAGGAGCTAAGATCTTCCTAGGCGCTGGCTCTGTGGGAACCCACCCAGGGGGCTGTTGAAGAAGCTGATTTGCTCTGATTTCATCATTGACAATCTTTCTCATCTCCCCCAACTTTCCATTAACTTCTCTCACCTCCTGATAGACGCCAAAGAGATGAAGCGAATGTTCTGGTTTCACAGGGAAAAGAGTGGGGCGGCCAGGCTGAGGAGATGGCCAGCCTCCATGTGGAGTGGACTCTGAGTAGCAGGCAGGACACAGGGGAAAGCAAGCACCCCAAGGTGCAGAAGCAGGTGCCACATGGGCCATGAAGTCCTTGGCTCCAAAGCACAGAGCAGTGGCCAGGACTCGCCCAGGCCACAGGCAGCTGTGCAGGCCAAGTGTCTCTAAAGACAGAAGGAGGAATGTCCCAGGATTCCATACAGGGCAGGACCAGCCTGAAGGTCCTCAGAGCCAAGAGAACGTTGTCTATTAATACTGAGAGCCGGTGGCATCTCCTGAAGCTGACCATGGCTGGGCGCTATGCTGGGCATTTACAATCACTATGGACTGAATTATGTCCCCCTAAATTCATGTTGAAAGCGTAACCCCCAATATGATGGTATTTGGAGCCTTTAAAGAGGTTAAATGACGTCCTAAGGGTGGAGTTCCAATCCAACAGGACTGGTATCTCTACTAGAAGAGAAAGAGACCCAGAAATCTCTTTCTCCCTGTGTCTCTCTGTCTCTGTGAAGGAGGCTGTCTGCAAGCCAGTCAAATAACCCCAACCAGGAATCCAAGCCTCTTGGAACCTTGCCCTTGAACTTCTCAACCTCCAGACCTGTGAGTAAATTAAGGCACCCTGTCTGTGGTATTTTGTTACAGCGGCCCTCACCGACAAACACAGCATAATATAGTTCAAACACAAGTTGGTTTATTTTACCCCAAAAAGGCTGATTAATTTAAGCATCGTAAGTTCCCTATACCGGTTTTGCCATTACCTTTTTTCTTGCTCAACATCTTGATGAGTACCTCTGCAGGACAGTGGCTGGGAGAGTGAGGCCAGGTACCCGAGGCCCCAGAAATCCAGTGATCAAAACTGACTCCAGTGGGACTGGGGTTATGGCTCAGCGGTAGAGCGCTTGCCTCGCATGTGCGAGGCCATGGGTTCGATCCTCAGCAACACACAAAAACAGATAAATAAATGTATTGTGTACAACTACAACTTAACATATATATATATATATATATATATATATATATATATATATATAAAAAAAAAAACTGACTCCAGAAGAAAGACCCTGACAAACCCATAACAACGGAAGAAATCAGTGAAGTTGCCCAAAAGCTGTCATCCCCCAAGCCACCAGGCTCAGCTGGTGTCACAGGTTAAAAAAACGATCCTTCACGAAGCAGAAAGATCTTATGCAGCACGACGGATTCAGAGGCTCATGAAGAGAGGCCACTGATCCTAACGTCTGCAAAACAAGACATCTCGCCTTGTCACCAATGTTGGTGAGAGGAAGCCTTGTGTGGTGGCTGCGAAGCTTTCAACAATGTCGCCAGCACCTTTCCCATTCCCAAGATCCATTTCTTGGCAGCTGCTCTGTGGAATCAAAACCCACGATGCAGTGCTTCAGTTGAGGGTGGATTTCAAAACTTGTATCGCGGGATCCCTCCCCAATTAATGCAGAAAACAACCACCCTGGCAGTTATGTTTGGTGTGTGAGGATTCATCTTGCCTTCTCCAAA